TACAAAAGTACTTATGGACATTAAAATAAAAAGATCACAAGTACATAGTAATTGGTTTATTTTCAAAGCTTACAGAAAAAGAATCAACTAGATAGAATAGCATAGTATTTATCCATAAACAGCAGCAGAGGATACTTGCTGTCAAATATCACAGCGTAAATCATAAAATATATCTCCTCTTCACCAGTTCAGATATGAGAGCATTCAGAAACTTTGCACATGTCGTAAAGCTGCATCTTGTTAGGCTTCTTTAAGCTGACTAGCCACATGAAGCAACCGGAAACAGCTGGTTCTGACAGGGCACCTGCAGTGAAATCAGTACTCGGAGCTTAATGACAAATCTGTAAGACAATGGTAAGTTAAGTATGAGTTCATTAATTATAGAAAATAGAAGAATGGATTGAGGGTTGAAAAAAAGCTTACCTTGAGGAAACTCGCCAACACAAATTCAACTGAAACTTTGCACCGAAGATCTCCTTGGTGGTTGACGATATCTTGAAAGCAAAGAAAACAAAGATTAATATGTAAAATCAAACAGCCGGGCAGGTACCAACAAAATGAAACCTTGCCTCAAATAAAATATGGTCCCATGGCGGCACCTTCCTGGGGCTAACAGATTCTAAATGTCTATAATTAACAATAGTTGTACAAGATTATGAAGATGAAAACCTGGAAATCCCTATTTTAGGCGTTTAGCAAGAAATCATATGCTATCTATGGTGGCAGTAGAATACAAAAATAGCTTTAATTTTGATCTGAGTGAAAGTGATTCAACTGTCAAAAGGCAGTTAAAAGCATATAATTTCTTCCCGGGTGAGACCACGGGGAGGAGCAATATATTAAAGCCTACATGGCCTGAATATTTTGCGTAACGCCAACGACAGGAAACTACAGCAGCACCAAATCCAATTTAAGAGGTCAGCAAGGAAAATATAAATGACATACTGCAATACGTTAAAACATGGGCAATCTTGATAAGACTTTCACTTGAGTACTTAATTGATTAGATGTAATTGGTGCTGCTGTAGCTAGAATCCCTCTCAAAGGCATATTGTCTTTCAAGAGTGATTCACATCAAATATGATGTCCTGCCGTCCTCACCCATCTGTAAAGAGAAGTACAAAAAAAAAAAAGAATACAAAATTAAGGCAGGACACAACTCATACCAGAACACACAAACTAACATAAACACACAACACATAAACACAAAAACTACCCTACCACAAACCATCCTACAACCACAAACAAGCCAAGCACCACAACCACCAAACAGAAAGCAAACAAAGAAACACTATCGCCGGCCGCGACCTGCG